TTAATATGTGTAGCTTAATGAAAAGACCTCGCCATCTTCTTTCTTCATTTTTTTCTGCAATCGGTGAGTTATTTTATAGTAGAGGCAAGTAACAGATCATCCCTCCTACCCAAAATGCCTTCAAAACCATAAATAAACAAATAAAAAGGAAAAAGCTACAACAGCCAAATCTAATAATGGAGGCTTTAACAATCATACTGAACCTTTCATATTTATTTTCATGTTACAAGGATTTGTTTCCTCTCACTGTCCAGTGCCCTGATGGAGAGAGCAGACTCCCCTGTACCCAGCTGTGTTTCCCTGAAGAGTGACAGGTCAATGGTTCATCCACCTGACTTCAGAGAGGGAACTTTTCCTACAGATCAAAGGTAAATGTGCATTTAAACAAACACTGTTTAAAACACTCAGACTCTCAGTCAAATGGTACAGAGACACATACAAGCTATGAGCAAAGAAACTTTATAATAAATGAATAATTTTTTAACTTTATCAAATGCAGTTGTCTTTGAGAATTTAAACAGATCTTCTGTCTGTGTTCTACACTGCCCGGCCAGAAAAAGTCGCTATTTGAATTTATATCAGCAAATACTTAAAAGCCAATGACTGGATCAGTTTTATAGCTCAGCAACGTTATGCAGCAATAAAGCATAAACCGGCGACCTTTTGATCACAGGCCCAGAGGCTTACTCTGCTGAGGCTGGGCGTAACCCGGCAACCTTCTGATCACAGGCCCAGAGGCTTACTCTGCTGAGCTACATGCTGACGCTCCCCCTCAAAAATACCCACTGTCACCTCTGGCTGACTTTCTGGGGGCATTTGGCAGGGACGATGTAAAGCGCTTTGAGATAATATAATATTGTGAAAATGCACTGCATAAATCTGAATTGGATTGAATTAGATTAACTTTCCTGCCTTATTCACAGAGACCAGATGGAAGAATCCAGTTCAAATCTACATGATAAATCGGGTTTATATCAGCACAGAATCAAAAGTAACCTGAAGCAGAAATGTGAGTGTGTATTTGAAGGGAAACCTAAGGAAGGACAGCCAACACTTCTCAGTGAGATTTACATAGAACTCTATATAACTGAAGGTGGGACTGGAGTCCTCAATGATGAACATGAAGTGAGACAGATTGAAACAGCATCTAAGATAAAGCAAACGGAAGATACTACAGTCAAGTGCAATGATATTTTTAAACCCTTATGTGGGCGAGACACCCCTATCAGAACTGTACTCAGTAAAGGGGTGGCAGGTATCGGGAAAACAGTCTCTATGCAGAAATTTATTCTCGACTGGGCAGAAGGAAAAGCAAACCAGGATGTTCACTTCATATTTGCTCTTCCTTTCCGGGACCTGAATTTGATTAAGGAGGAATACAGTCTGATTGAACTGCTTCACCACTTTGTCCCAGAACTGAAATCACTTGAACCCACTGAGCTGTTTAGGTACAAAGTCTTGTTCATCTTTGATGGTCTGGATGAATGTCGCCTTCCTCTAGATTTTCAGAACAATCAGAGCTGGTTTGATGTAACAAAGAAAACATCACTGGATGTGCTTTTGACAAATCTCATTAAGGGGAATCTGCTTCCATCCGC